AACGAGTCTACATTTAAAATTACATCCAGTCGCAATCAATTTCATTATCTTTGTAAGGCAATAAATCGGCCTTTTCATCTTGAAAATAACACACGTCTCGATCCATTTTCCCCACTTTCTTGTATATGTTCCACACAAGAAATGAAAACATCATTGCCTACTAACTCATGTAGGTCTGCATTATTATTGTTTAATAGTTTTCTTTTCTTTCTTTTTTTCCTATACACCAGAAGGGTATCTTTTTTTTTTAATTTCTGATAAAAAAAAAAACAACTGTAGGCTTCCCTTTTGAAGGGTGGATGCCCAGAAGAAAGAAGAATCTAGTTTAAGAGGTTTCTACCTTATAATTGTGGTTTACCTAACTCAGAAAGTTATGTCATAACAGAGGTCAAATTTCATAGTGTTTGCAACTCAAGTGCTATCTCATGAACTCCACAAAACCGAAAACCCTTACAGTGACAATTCACACTAGTTCTGAATCTTGACATGGGCCGGTGATGAGCCCCATTGCATGAGAGCTAGTACTGACATTTGATTTGATACGGTCTTAGCCATAAGTGGCCTGTTTTCTAATCAGATATGGAGGAGCGTGGATTCATGTACGTTCATGCCAATGGTCCAATACAGAGGTCCTGCAGCTTTCCGGGCATGGGCATTGAGTGGGTTCAGATTGGACTGACTATTCCAAAGCTGATCATTAGGGCAGTAATGGATCAGGTTAGATTTTGTTGATCGGATTGAAAATGGCAACCCAGTGACCCACCCAAATTGGGATATGCAATTCGGATCAGTTGGGTCGGCTGTATCCGTTTGGAGAATGTGAAATATGTTTTCTGTTTTCAACTGGGAGATAGAAAGAAAGAAGGGATGGAATAAATGAATAATTGTATGTTGTTGAACCCGTAAGGGTGTTCGAATTCGAATGTGGCTTATTTTGATTTGATAAATATCTGAATTCAATTGATTATTTAATTCTTATATATAATATATATAATAATTAAGTTATATAAATAATTTGTATATTTATATACTTTGTATAAATAAAATATTTATTCTATATATGTATTAATTACCTTAAATAATTAATTGGTTGAAATCAAATTAAATTGAATATTCGAATATTAATTTGCAATATCTATTGGATATCAAATCATATTCAGATATCGTATTTTCTAATTGGATTTGAATTTAGATATTGCCTGATGTAATTCAAACTAGATCCATTTACACCCCTACCCCGAAGGCCAGAACTACGTACCAGCTGAAGAATTAATGCCACCCTGTGGATTTCTGTACAAGAAAGTTGTATTGAATCCATTGCCAAAGCAATGGTTTCTTTGGTCCAATTGGATCTAGTCCAATGTTAGTCCATTACAAAATGGATCAGGTCCAATCCAATCCAATGAATATTTTGGATTGGTCCAATTCAATGTCTAGACCATCCAATCTGTTCAAATTTATTTTAATTTAGATTAATTCTAACCAAACCTAGTCCATTAACACATATATTCTTATCTTCTATCAATGGATTAAATATTGGTTCAATCCAACCTAATCCAATATAAATTCGTTATGGATAAACCAAGTCCAATCCAATAAATACTCTAGATTATCAAGTCTAGACTGGTCCAATTCAATATGTCTTGTTGGTCTGTCCAATCCATCTAAATTGGTCCATTGAGACAGGGTCCCGCTCTGCCACCAATAATAATTGTTGGATTGTTTACTGGGTTGCATGTGATGTCTACTGCCAAGTTGGGTTAATTTGTACTCCACACAAACACAAGTTGGTGAATGGTGAGTGAGTGCACAGTGTAGAGTTACGTCAATATAGGTAGCAAAAGTGGGCATGAACCCAACTAGGTGAGAGTTTCATTCCAAATGGCTCGAAATTGAGCCTAGTCAGGAGTACTCAGGAGTTAAAAACTCCTACCGAATAGCCAATAGGTCAATACCCATGTCTTTGATTCTCTGTGATAATCATTCGGTGTTTGAGTTGCTCTCAAAAAATCAAAATCCGTTCCATCTCTCCATCTGAACTGATATAGAAGATTCTCTCTTTCTTCTCTCTAGCTAACTTTAGTTAATCTTTTATTAGGTACTTTAGAAACATTTCAGAGAAAAGTAGCTAGCCATCATCATGAAAGACATGAACCGAACTTCTGTTATTAAGAAATCAAAAAAGTTGGGGGACTAATGGAACAGACCTTCTACACCCGGGGCTCTAGACGCTACACCATTGCTATATATCATTAAAAATCAGAATCACTTTGACAAATTGGATTAGAGTTGGAGTCACTTTGACAAGGAATAAAAGGTAAATCATTGGGCTGAATTAGTCTGAAAATCTCACCTTTCTTTTTCTCTCTTCTTCTTGGATGGATGGATTCTTTATGTTTGCCTTAAACCCCATAAAATAATGATCTCAAACCTAAAATAAATTTATTGGAACTATATGCACTTCACATGATGTGTATTAAATAATGCAAAAGTGATGAAACGTGTGTTCAGTTTAAATGTATGATTAATAAAAAGATTAACTTGGTCTCCTGTTGAAACCCAAATGTATAGACTCTCTTCACCTCACAGACTGACAGACACCAGTACAGTTTGGAGTAGGGGTCTACTCCTTATCCCTTTTCCGTCAAAATGCAAGTTGGGTAAGAATAGGAATCAATGTCTTTAAGGCAATAGAGTTTATACGTTGGACCACAGTGAAGAAAAGTGCATCCCCTTCGCTGTCCATCTGTTTGACCGAATGTCTATGTGAAGTTCGCAAATACTTCCTTCATCCCCAACGACATAAATTTAATTTCATAAAGGTCCTTTCGTCTTTCAATGTTACAAGGTCATCATCATCACGTATGTCCCTCTGTCTCCTTCGATTACCCCTAGCATATCCCAAGTAGACTCTGTTGCGTGCACTGAGCATTGTATATGCCAGGCAGGAAACAGGATTCAATCGATGCAAAGTCTGTTCGAACAACCATCGTAGCCTTTGCATTGGAAACATCTTCTCATACCGATCACGGCAGGCGGAGGCAGTGGGTTCGAAACCGTGACAGGGTTTTGGGTTGCTATAGGCCTCTAGCAACTACACATTCTCTTCAGTCCCTGCCAAGTCAACATAATCTCAAACCCTAAGTCGGTGGGAGATGATTTATGCTTATCAGACAAGGTTCATAATATGAAAATGTGTTGTGTATCCCCTTTCTGTCTTACCAAACCCTGAAATGATAGCTTCAAAAATTAAATAAAAAATACATAGAATATTGTAGGACATCATAGTGGATCATTCTATCCATTTTAAATCTTAGGTCACCTTCCTTTCTAGTATCTTGGGTAAGTTCAGTGGTGTAAATCCAGCCAGCATGGCACGGCCCACGAGCCGTCAGTTTTTTTGGTGGGTCGTGTTGTTATGGCTCGTAGGTTATGCTGTATAAGGTCGTGTTTGCTATCTTTAGGATATTTTAGAGGTTTGACCTGGGCCGAGGTGGTCCATGAGTCAAGTCTTGGACTAGGCTGAGTTAAGTTATGAGAGATTTTTTTAATTTAAAAAAAATAATGAAAATTTTAAAATAAATTATTAAAATAGACAAAAAAGTTAAAAAATGTTAAAATTTTATTTTATATAAATTTTGATGTAGCATTGTTTATATATGAAATAATAAAATGAAATTAAAAAATTACAATACGATTGGAATAAAATAGTATAATAAATTTAAAAATAAATGAATATATTATATTATTTATAATTATTATTACGTATACATATACATATGTATATGTATATAATTATATTATTATATAATATAATATATATGGGTCGGGCCAAATGTCATACTGTACCGGCCCATGGGCTTGAAAACTCAAGTCTAGCATGGCCCATACCTTTGTGCTATGCCTGGCATGGCCCACATATTGTCATGCCGAACCCGGCCCAAATTGTGTTGAGTCGTGGGTGGCATGGCCTGATTTACAACTCTAGGTAAGTTAGTCAACCGGGTAATTTACCAACTTTCCACATTCTTGTGTCATTATAATGAGTTCTACGAAAGTGAATTTTTTGGAGATTATCACTCAGATAATCAATACTCTCATGAAAGGTGGATAAATTACCTACATAACTGCCAAAACATGTAAATCCTCCCTAAAAATTCTGGCACCAAAGTTATTAAGGCAACTTTTGCCCGAATAAATGTGTTATTCGGGTACCCTATTACTTAAGATTTAATAAATAAATAAAAATTAAATTATTAAAATTGAAAACACTGTTGTTGGTTTGACAGAAATCAAGAAAAAAACATCAAGTTGAAGGAAAGAAATGATCTAAACAATTTACAATTTAACAGAAAGAAAACATGACTTTTGATAGAACAAACAAGTAGCCAACCCCAAATAGTTGGGATTAAGACTGAATTGAGGTGAGTAGTGGAGGATCCTGATCATCCATTAAATTTACCAAACAACGGAATATGGTTTGATTGTGACCCAAAGTAAAAAATCACTGGTCCCTGCTGAACTTAATCCAATCTTCTTTGTAAAAAAAATGGATGTTTCATGCCAAATCATCTAGTTTCCAGTTTCCACCAAGAAACTAGATTCTATTTTGGGGAAGCACGGATTAATGCCAAAGCCCAAAAAAAGGTCTAGGTTGGAAGACATTTTTATATAGAAAAATTAGATATGGGTTAGGTAATGGTACTGTATGGCGAGGCGAGGGGCGAGGGGCGAGGAGGGCCTTAGCATTTAGGGTCCACGGACATGATTGTCATTTTGCAGAAAGTTATGCGCACATTTTATCCGACACAGTGACACTCGGGAGTGGGCCGAGTTATGACAGCGAGTCAACGCTTCCTCTAAGAGGACGTCAGCATCCACCTCATTGTCCAGCTCAACCCGTCTCTTTGATCGTGCATAAAAAGGCAGAAGGGTCGAGCGAGTGGCGAGTGCTTTCGATTCAACTCGCCAATCCATTCAATTACGACCCCCCACCCCCCACCCCACGAGCGCCATGTATGACTGTGGAGATCTGTTCGCCCTCAGTTGCAATTCCTCCATTTTCAACGGCTATCCGCCGGAATTCGCAGCGACACTTTTTCCGGCACTGGTGCCTCCTCCTGCAACACTCGCTCCAGCCAGACTCATAAACAACGAGTTTGACTCAGTCCGTGAGGCTTTAGCTGCAGTGAGCAGTAGCAGCAGCAGCAGCAGCAGCTGCTGCTATGGGAGTGGGACAGCGAGTGCGGGAACGAGTTATTACGTTCAACAACCCAACCTCGTAGAAAGGAGCATGAGCAGCAGTCATTCACTTCAAAATAACGGGTTTCATCACCACCAACCCATATTCTCGACGGTGGATGAATCTTGTCCAGAGGCTCTGGACTTGGAGACCAGCGCCATGAGAAAGATGTATAGCTCCGGCGACTTGCAACAGGTGCCTTTTTCACCACTTGTAGCTTACACTCTGTTTTTCCACCTTCATTATTTGAGCCCATAATTAGTTAATTGGGAGTTGTTCTGTAACTGCAGGCAATTTTGACGATGCAACAGAGACAGAGTCATCATTCCGAGAGCCCATTGTCGCATGAGAACTGTTGTGGTGGCGAAGGATCAAACAAGGCTGTTCGGTACAGTGCGGAAGAGCGAAAAGACAGAATAGAGAGATATAGAAGCAAGAGAAACCAGAGGAATTTCAATAAGAAGATAAAGGTGGATGCTCTGTCCTGTATTCTGTATTCTGTATTCATACTGCTCTGACTTTTCTCTGTGCTATTTAATTGGGCAATTATTTTTTAATTTGGTGATTATTTTTGAAAAAAGGTGAAGAAGAAATTAACAGGTGTGTCTCTGTGTGGTTTATTGCAGTATGCATGCAGGAAGACATTAGCAGACAGTAGACCACGCATCAGAGGGCGGTTTGCAAGGAACGAAGAGGTAGGAGAGAGTTCCCAAACTCATTGCTGGAGTCAAATCATGGGGGACGTCGAAGATGAAGATGAAGATGATGTTTGGACCAATTTCCTTGATGCATTCTCCACAAATTTGATGCCTTAACTAAGCACACGAACCGGCTGCAAATACCAAATTCCAACTTTAGATTGCTTTTTTTTGTTGCTTATAATAATAATAATCATTGCTATTATAATAATGTTGGAATGTATGCGTTAAGCCTTTAACATTGGATGTAAATATGCTTATGTTTGGTTGTCAAAATGACAATCCAATTCCATTTCATGCCAATCAATAATTGAATATAGTAATTAAGGCTGTGTTTGGTTGCAGTTCAACTTTATTTGCATTAGTATCAATGTTTTTGAACCGTTGTTGATCCAAACGGTCGGACCGTTCGGACCAGAAACTGTTCAAGTGACTGGTTCCGTTTTTACGCTAAACCTGTCATTTGGTCAAAAACTATTGAATTAGTCAACGAACCGTTGACTGATAAACCATTTGACCCGAAGAACCGGTTTGCTGCTTAGATCTCAGATTTGTCTTTCTCGCGCAAGAAGGTGAGAGAGAGTGAGATCTGAAACTGAGAACGCCGCCGTTGTTGCTGCTGTAGTTCGCCATCGCCATTGCCGCTGCAAACCAGCAAGTCCTCCTCCTCTTCTTCCTCTTCTTCTTCTAAACTCTTTCAGTTCAGCCGACAGCTTTCAAGTTTCAAGTTTCAACCCTTAGTTCCTCTTATATAGTATGCATTAATGCATATTACCCTAATATTCCAATCTAATGGGTAAGATGCTCAAATCGTTCGAACCGTTTGACCATCCCCGGTCGAACCGCTGACCCAAAAACCGGTGGCCAGAACGATTCAGTTTCCAAGTCAATTTTTAAAATCTTGATTAGTACAAATGCACGGGAGTGCAAATGAAAAAGATGTAAATTTTAATTTAATTTTGTTATGGGTTTTACTTTATTCTGCTGCAGGTCTTATTTTACTTTATTTGAATTGCAATTAAACAAAATAAGATAAATTTTAAAACAAAAATTAAATATTGCACTCAAATTATTCGCCCAACAACAAAGTTTGTATCATCCCCATCCAAATTAGAGGCAATTCAGATCTTTTGCCCACAAGAGTCATACCCGCATGACACTACAGGCTATAGTTGTACATTGGGAACATTTACCCTTGAATTGTAATGTCTCCTCACACTAACTTCACATCACATCTCACTATGTATTGAGAACATCTTCCATAAATGATAACATACGGGAGATGCTTTTAATGTGCCGCTGATACATATAATGAGATTAATGTCAAAAACGCTCTCAAAGGAGAAAATTAAGACTCCAACATGCAAACATGGGAGATGTTCTCAATATACAACTGTAACGATGAATGAATAAGCCTGGATTGGATTCTTGTGGGCAGGAGATCCCAACTCATTCATGACCATATTCTTTTATGGTTTTAAAGAAAGTCGTCCACTAGCGTGTAAAACAATTGTTTCATCACCGAACGCGATATAAAACTATAAACTATACAAAGCTTGATGTACCAAAACAAATTAAAGCAACCTCTCTGAAATGTCTCCCTGACTTAGGCTTTAAGAGCAAGAACAATTAATAAAACTCCCCTCTTCTCTTTCTCTCATACAAATACAGTGATAGTGGACGTTCAGGCTATTGAATGATATGATTCTTTTTTGAAGCTTTATAATAATCGAGATAAATGAGTCCTATGAAATAGAATCTGACTTTATTGGGTAAAGACTACTACTACTCTTGATGCTAAGGACCGTCCTCAAGACAAGGCTAGTGGTGAGGAAGATGGCAGTGTTCATTCCTGTCGGCATTACTTACATGGCTAGCCATCCCACCAACTTGATTATATGGATCTAAATAATGTGTTTGCCCGTTGGGAAGAGCGTCTCTGCAGGGATTTAAATGAATCGGTATATTTGAATTTGATCCAATATTGTTCGTGTTGGATCTAATCTAATCTGAAGATCTGATCAATTTTGATAGGATTTGATTTGAATTTGAATCTTATCGGTAAGTCGGATCTTCAGATCTGATTCAATTCAATCTATTTTTTTAATTAATAAATTATTAAAAGAAAAATAAAATATACTAATTTAAATAAAATAAAAAACAAAAAATACAAGTACTTTTTAATTATTTTCATCATATATATACATATTTTTATATAATATATATTGGATCAAATCTTCTAAGATTAGATAGGGATGATTCAAATTCGACCAAATAGGGTTGGATCTTGGATCGGATAATCGAATCCATTTGCACCCCTACATCTCACACCAATCTCATTGTTTTTAGTCATCCACTGGGAATATATCTCGTACTTGTATATTAACTTTCATGGGGAGATGTTTCCAATGTACAAATGTGATGTACTGTAAGCTTAGTGTGAGACTCGCTCTTTGAGGAACAAATCCGATTTTGTCTTTTAACATAAATAAAAAGGAATTAATTATGGAGAAAGAAAATGGCTTCAAAACACTAACCAGTTTTGGACGGGCAGTGTTCTGCTGCTGGTTGAACCTCGACGAGTTGCATGGGGTTTAGGCCGCTAGGGCCTATACCTACATAATAATCCAAACAACGTCGGGGCTAGAATTATTGGTCCTAGGCCTGATCCATAAACTTTATAGTTGCAGCCCATGATCATTAAAATTAGGCCCAACAAATGATCTTCCCTTGGGCTCAGTTTGGTAAGAGTATGAAAAGGGTAAATTTTTTAAATTATCCTTATTATTTACTTAATTGATAAATTGTATTCTTACTGTTTAATTATTTTCTTAAACCATCTTTACTGTTTTTTACAATTGATTAGTTTTACCCCTATTGTTATTGTCCGTTAATATTCCGTCAAAATCCGTACACATATGACACCATGTGGCATATAATTTTTTTAAAAACCCAATATTACCTTTCATAATATTGGCCGGTTGCCCCATGTTTTCAAAAACCGGCATAACAGTCCCGCTCACTGGCTTCCAGAAAGAGGGACAAAGGGTAAGATTAGGTTTTTTTTAAAAAAATATGTCATGTAGTATTACATGTGTGTGGATTTTGACGAAGCATTACTGAATAGTAATGACAAGGGTAGAGCTAGCCAATTGTCAGAAACAATAATGGTGGTTTAAGACAATAGTTAAACAGTAAGTGTATAATTTGCCTTAAATTATAAACAGTAAGTGTATAAACAGTAAGTGTATAATGGTGGCATATAACTATTGTTTAAGACAATAGTTAAACAATAATGGTGGTTTAAGACAATAGCTAAGCGGTAGGGGTAGTTTAAAAAATTTGCCTTAAATACAAATATGTAAAGTACAAATCCTTGTATTTTGTACTATTTTGTATGTATTTGCACTACATATGTTTGCATTTGTATTCTTCCTAAACTGAGCCTTAGTTGAAGTTGGCAGCTGTAGGTGTATGACATGGGTGTACAAGGGGTGTAATCAAGTTGAAACGAGCCAAGCCCAACTCTGGCATATCTTACCTTCATTTGGCTGGTATTACTAGGTCTGAAATCGAGTTTGAGTTTGATTCTAACTCTATTTTCCGAGCTCAAATCAATTAAATATAATATAAAATATATTTTTACATTACTAATATTAATCGAGCTAGGGTCACAAGCTTTCAAGCCAAACTTTTTATTGATTGAACTATAATTTGAATAACTAATTAAGCTTACCTTAAGATTCGAATTCAACTCAAATCAAGCCTAATTAAACTTGAGCCCAAATTATTCGATTAAAGCTCAATTTAATTGCATCCTAATATGGGGTCATGGACTTACAAGACAAGCTTATTGCAACTTCTTGATCATGACTCATGAGGGGTTGTTTGGTGATATGGTTCAATAAAATGTGGATAGTTTTAATTTAGTGAGCCCCATTGTAATGGACTCCGGATTTCCCTCACTTTGTGGTGCACTCCCAATTACATTGAAACACGTCAGACTTTGCATGTATCCCAGGTCACATGTGCGAGTCATTTAACGGGACCGTTTGCATTTTTTTTAATATCTCAATTTTTTCAAACTAAAAATTTTAAAGAAAAAACTATTCAGACCTGGCCCTTCCATGGAGCAGATGCCATTAACGAACGATTGCAGGGGAAAAAATTCTGGTGTTGAATTGTTTATTCTGAAGTTGTAGCAAAGCTCCTCCATGGTAAACTTGCTTTCTCTAAAGTCAATGTTCAATGTTTCTTATTCTGCAAATGAGAACCGAAGCAACAAACCGACAAATCTTGTTGTTTTGATGACTTTATGGTGTATACTCTATCCAATTGATTGAGGTAAAGATTCAGAAATCTTCAAGTTGAGATAAATTCAAAAGCAAGATTAGTAGACATTAATTACTCTGTAACATGCTTCCTAATTTGTGTCTTTCTGTTCATGATTTTTTTCTCAATACCATCATTAGAAAATAAAGTTGACATTTTTATAAATTTGACTTAAAAAGGGAGTCATTACCGAATCTAGTTCATAATGGGTTTGAAAAAAGCAGAGTACTCAAGTGAATAAGAAACGATGGGCACCTGAAACAATTTCTTGCAAATGACTTCCACCCTTACTTGGTCTACAATCGCTTATTAATGCATTGGCACCAGGTTAGAGCTGGTTTGGTTTGCAACAGTTTTCTTTGTTTTCGTTTTTCAGTACTCATCAGTCAAGATTTCATATGCTTCACTAATCCCTTGATAGTTTTCCATAGCAATGTCTTCATCTGTGAGTGATAGATTTGTGCCCATTGACAATAAACTTTTCTATTTTCTTCATCCCATGTTTCATGAGATGTGTAGATTAGAGTGTATATCTCTCTATTTGGAGTTCTGATTTTTCCTTCATTCTTTGCTAAACGAAGAAAAAGGGATTAGGGTTTTATAGATAATATTAAAGTTTGTCATGGAATAGTCTTGCGGTTGCGGAAAGTTTTCACCCTTTCTAAACTAATAGAGGCAAACTGGCTGTTTAAATGGCTCGCGTATTTGAGTTGGAGTGCTATCCAAATTCTAACGTGTCCCAATTTGATTGGGAGTGCACCCTTGCACACACAAAACCATGTGCAGGAAATCCGAACTCATTGTAATGTGGTTGAAACCACATCACACCCAACCAAGGTGCTTTTTAATATGGTAATGTGATTGGGATAAAGGATTTAAATATGTATCGGATTAGGACAATACAAGATACGTTACGAATGATTTAAACCTAGAACAGCACCTTGTGCATAGCTTTGAAAGCCTTAAACTCTTCCATCA